ATGTTGAAGGGACAGTTTGCCTCTGCAAACTCCATCATGACTTGCTGCACTTACCTCCTGCCCTGTTTCCAAAAGCACGCATCTTATATATTTTGAGTATTTTACCTGCATGTGTCCTGTGCACTATGTGTATGGTACTTGCAGTGCCTATGGAGGTCAGAAGAGGGCCCTGGATCTACTAGGGGGCTGGGGGTTGCTGGGAGGGAACCCCGGGTCCTTTGGAAGAGCAGCAAATACTCTTAACCACCAAGTCATTTCTTCAGCCTTTGCCCTGTTACAAAGGCCCATTCTCTCTTCTCTTGCCTTTTAAGTCCCTGTTGGTTTATGGGCTGCTGTAGTTTCCCAGGTGTTGGGGAAGTCTTATGTCAATAAAGCACTGCTGGCCTATAGGGAATCAACATAGATGGGACTAGGAGTCCAGGAGAACTCTGGGAAGGAGGAACACAGAGAGTCAAGATGTAACGCCATGGGGTAGGAGCCCGGAACTCTTCTCCGGTAAGAGACATACTTAGATTAACAATTATGGGGTAATTACTTAAAGCAGAGCTAGCCAGTAAGAGACAAGCAAGGCCAACAGCTTCATAACTAATATAGCCTCCTGTGTGTTTATTTGGGACTGATGCGGCTCTAGAACCAGGCTGGCGGGAAGGCTTCTCTCAAGGAAAAGCTTCCCTTTACACCCAGGTATAGATCTGCAGGGCAGCTGGAGGTGTGGAGCCTGGCGGCTTCTCTCTAGGTGAATCTGGAAATGCCCCACCATTTAGCTCTGGATACCTGACAATTTGTAGCCTTTGCTGCATGCATTACTTCCATTTAACAACTGTCTCAGATGGTAGAGTTTATAGTTTTTTTAATGGTTTTTTAAAATCCTTGAGGGAAGGTGAAGGGTGGAAAACCAGGCAGAGCAGAGGGAAAGACTTTTAGTTTTCAGTCGGGTCTCATTAAAGCAACTCTCTTTCCTTTGTCCTTAGCACTTTGGCTCTCCTGATTCTCACTTGTTAGTGGTTTTGGCCAGTCTCTGTTTGTTCTGTGATTTGAAGCTGCACTGCATCTCATTCTGGCCAAGCGTTGACCACACTCTGTCAAGGCCTTCTTTGTGTAGGGGCTGTTCCTTCTGGTTAACAAGGATGTCATCCACAGGTCAGGAACGGAATGGAGTCCCACTTGAAAACCTGACATTTGAGACATAAATCCTAGCACAAGATGTTTTCCCTGGCACAGGGCCACCCAAGCAGAGGTTTAACACGCAGAATCTTACTGTAGGTGACAGAAACACATTGTGATTCCTGTTCTCTACCCCAGTAGCAAGGGCAGAAGCCGCCTAAAGCTGGTTCCAGTCAAGGGCTTATTTCAAGCCGGCTCAGTGGAAAATGATGGTGCTTGGGCTCTCAGGAATGGGGTGGCTTTGGTGACACAGACTGCACACACCTCTAAGGTGTGGCAGGGGTCCTCTCATCCTCCCATTTGTCTGGGACTTGTATTAGTGGCCCTTCATGGCTTGGCTTAGGACCTGGTGCTGATATTTGTCTCTTGTCAACGGTTTTTCCTTGTTCTCAGATGTCTGAACAAGGCCATAACTAGGCAACCGCTGCTAGTGATGGCCCTCGCTGGCAATGGTCTTTTACTACCTGCTCCTTGTAGGTGTGCTTATGTTCATAGGTGTGCAGGTGCACGAGTGTGTGTGAGTGTGTGAGTGTGTGTGCATGTGTGTGAGTGTGTGCGCGTGCGTGTGTGGAGGCCAGTGTGACCAGCCTTGTGTGTCAGTCACTGGAATGTGGCATTCTCCAACAGAAGCCCACCGCGCATGGACACACATGACACACAAACACATGAGTACACATACAGATAAAACTGGAATGTGCCATTCTCCAACAGAAGCCCACCACGCATGGACACACATGACACACAAACACATAAGTACACATACAGATAAAACTGGAATGTGCCATTCTCCAACAGAAGTCCTTCACACATGCATACCTACACAAATTGATGTGTAGGTAACATTGGAACATGCCATTTTCTAGCAGAAGTCCTTCACATATATGCACACACATAAGCATGAATACATACACGTATGTGTGGGCAAACACATCCACATACATAACTAAATGTACACAAACATGCAGATATACATATACAAATACAAAAACAATACATGCATAAATAGGCACACACTAGAAACACAAACGCACACAGAAGCAAACATATGTACATTCATATATAAACACATATGCATATACAAACATAGGTGACATAAACATACATGAACACACAAGTATATGCATACAAGAAATACCTACATGCACACACAAACTCATATGGATACACGCATAAACCTATATACACATAGTACACTTACACAAACATGCCTACATGCTTGTACACACAAAACACAGACTCAGTGCACAAAAAGACACACAAACAAATAGTTACACATGATGGGGGATGTCCTTCTGTATGCTGTGAATATCTGTTTCTCTTACTGGTTGATGAATGAAGCTGTTTTGACCAATGCACAGGCAGGATGTAGCAAAGCGGGAAACCCAAACAGGAACAGAGAAAGGTAGTAGGCGGAGCCAGAGAGATGCTATGTAGCTGCCGAGGACCATGTGGAGACGCACAGATAAACAGAAACGGGTTTTAACTAAGAGAGAGCTAGCAGTAGGAAGCCTGAGCCATCGGCCAAACAGTTTATAGTCAATACAAGCCTCTGTGTGTTTATTTGGGACTAATGGCAGCAAGACCAGGAGGGACAGAAATTGCCATCTACACGCACATACATAATGCATGTACACACAAACATGCTTGCATAAAAGAACACATATGGACATGTGTGCATCTACATCAACAAATACATCCATACAAACACATATGCAAACATGCACAAGTACACACACACATGAAAACCCACATATACTCACTTATGTAAAGAAATACATATCTGTACACATCAAAACATATGCATGCATACATATGCATGTGTGCTGACATATACAAACACATATACACACATATGCACAGATACAATATAAGCACACAATTATATACGTACACACAAACATGTATGCACATACAAGCACAACTGTGAACACATACAAACACATGTGCATGCACTTACACTCAGGACATATGCACACACATACACATGTACACACTTTCACAACTGCACACATGTGCTTAAACACAAATATGTACACAAAAGTACACTCATATACATGTTCCCTGTGCTGGCTAGGAGGCAGAGTCTGGAAACTGCTCTGGTATCCATGTGTCCACCACACTCAGCCTCCCTGATGTGTTCATGCCTGGTTTTGTAGAATGAGACCCGGTTTTAACACTCTTGTCAACCTAGTCAATGAGTCTGACTTTCTGCCTAGCACATTCCCTTCCTTCCTGCACCAACCACCTGCTGAGATCCTGTCTGAATCCAAAGACACAGTGGTGAAGGCTCAAACACACTCTGAAAAACCCCGTCTACCCCCACCCCTGGTTCAACCAGGCCCCTTTGCGTGTCTGCTTTTAAACTTTTACAATTTTTAAGTACAAAATGCAGGAGTGTATGATAGACACACACACACACACACACACACACATACACACACACACACACACAGCCACCTCCGCGTTTCAGCAATGATTTGGTCAGGATGAAGCTTGTCTTATCTGTCACACTTAATCCCCACCTGACATCATTTTAAAGCATTTCTGACACTGGATCGCCATATTTGTTACTATTTCAGTATGTGTTTCTAAAACCTAGAACTGTTAGTTTCTCATGTCAGCATGATACCATTATTACTCATAACTACATTAGCAATGATTGCTTATACCACCGAATATTCCAGCTGGTGTTTATATTTCCAGTTGTCTTAGAAATGGTTCAAAGTCTCTTCTTTTAAACAATCCAAGTCTGCATCCACATGTGATCTGCATTTTATGATTTTCTGATGGCATCTCCAGGTTTTTGTCTGTGTAGCTGTTTCCCTTGTGATTTGTTTCTTTGTGAAATTGACTCTTTAGTCCTTTAGAATTGCCATGGAGGGACACGGCTGTGTCAGTCTGTATATGGACAGTTCAAACTGAAATCTTTCTCCTGGCAGGCCTTCTTCAGATGTGGTGCTGGATTCTTCTACCTGGTATATTACATGCCTGGCTGTGCTGGCTAATTCTATGTCAGCTTGACACAAGCTAGAGTCATCAGAGAGGAAGGAGTCTTGATTGAGAAAATGCCTCCACATGATTAGACTGTGGGCCAGCCTGTAGGGGATTTTCCTAAGTAGTGATTGATGGGGGAGGGCCCAGCCCATGGTGGGTGGTGCCATCCCTGGGCTGGTGGTCCTGATTTCTATGAGAAAGATGATGAGCAAGTCATAGGGAGGAAACCATTAAGCAGCACCCTCCACGGCCTCTGTATCAGCTCCTGCCTCCAGGATCCTGCTCTGCTTCCTCTAGTGATAGACTATAGATGTAGAAGGATAAATTAAATAAACCCTTTTCTCCCCAACTTGCTTTTGGCCATGATGTTCCATCACAGCAGCAGAAACTCTAGCTAAGACTCTGGTTGCGCCTCTTTTGTTGACATAGTTGCCATTAATGCTCAGTGCTGAAATTTACTAATTAATTAGGGCGTGGGTACTGGAGAGACAGTTCAGTGATTAGAAGTGCTTGTTACTCTTATAGAGGACTCAGACTTGTTTTTTAGTACCAATGCTGGTTAGGCAGTTCACAACTGCCTACAATTCTAGCTCCAGGAGTCTGAACACCTGTAACGAGAAGCTTTTTCTTTGAGAGAAGCCTTCCCGCCAGCCTGGTTCTAGAGCCGCATCAGTCCCAAATAAATACACAGGAGGCTATATTAATTATGAAGCTGTTGGCCTTGCTTGTTTCTTACTGGCTAGCTCTGACTTAAGTAATTACCCCATAATTGTTAATCTAAGTATGTTTCTTACCGGAGAAGTTTTCGGGCTTCCTACCCCATGGTGTTACATCTCGACTCTCCTGTGTTTCTCCTTCCCAGAGTCCTCCTGGACTCCTAGTCCCTCCTATCTTGGTTCCCTATTGGCTCAACAGTGGTTTATTGACATAAGACTTCCCCAACAAACACCCTCATCTGAATTCTGAGAGCACCCACATGCATAAGAGTAACCACAAAAATACAACAGCTCTTGGGCTGTGTACCCTGGCTCTAAACAATTGTCTGAACTTTTCAATGAGGCTGATAATTCACAGCAGGGAGCACTGTGGATTTGGCACAGCATAGAATTAAATATGTGGTATGTTCTGATGCATCACCCATGAGGGATTACCCTGGTCATGGAGGGTCACTTTCACTCTTTGCTCAGGGATGGACCAACAGCAGAGGCTTTGGTTCTATTTGACTCTGTGTACCATGAGATCTCTTACCTACAAACCAAGGGACCTGTGCGTGTGTGTGTGTGTGTGTGTGTGTGTGTGTGTGTGTGTGCGCGCGCGCGCGTGCACGCGCATGTGTGTGTGAGTGTGTGTGCGTGTGTGTATGTGTGTGTGATCCAGAGGTAGAGTAGATGTCTACTGGGTAGCTCTTAGGACACAGAAGACCTACTGTGATTCATACCTTCCATGAGGAAGAGGAATCATGAAATGATTTTGGGTCTTTTAGTGTTTATGTCAATTCAGACTCTAAGTCATTCTCCAAAATGTGTGGCTTTTTTCCTCTCCTGACTATAAACGAGCATCAGAGTCTATCAGAGCCATCTTCCATAAAGTGCTGGTGTTCCGTGTGTTAGATCATCACTTCTCTAAGCTTCCGGGAGCATGTTTACCCTGGTCTCAGGATCCTTGTCAGAGAGTCACACCTAGAGGACTTACCCCTGAATCAATAAACCCTCCTTATCCAATGCTATTTTCTAATTCCCTTTCCCCCTGGAGCAAGTGGCCCCAGAGTTCAGCTCTATTTGGACCTTCTGGGCTCCGGCAAGCACCTGTTGGTCAGCTCCAGTGGTTCCTTCAAGCTCTTCCCTTCTTCATGCTTCCTGGCTGGCTTCCTGGCTGGCTGGTTTAGACGGCAGAGAGAGGTGTGGGCACCTCTCTCCACTTTCCAGCAAGCACACAGTCCCGGGGCTTAGTAAGAGCTAGGAACACCATCGAGCTGGTAGCTCAGGTGGTAGAGCGCTCGCCTAGCAGGCACAACCTCCTGGTTCTATCCCCACTAGTGGTGGCTACAGTGGTGCACAACAGGAATTTCAGCACCTGGGAGCCAGTCCTAGCAGGATCAGAAGTTCAAGGCCACCATCTTGGGCCACATGAGATCTTGTCTTTAAACAGTTTCAGACACTCAGCAATCTGAAGGTTCGCGGTTTGAAGGGATTGGTCCAGTTGGCGTCCTGCATCTTGGGCTTCCATGCGTTCCCGATTTCCATCCTCAGCTTCGGACAGCAGATCTTGAGACTTTTGCCTCTTTGCCGCTGCAGATGAGCGTCTTTCTGTGTAGTACCGAGGACTCTCGCGTGCTCACATCTCAGCTCATAGTTGGCTGCTCATCGCTCAGTCTTTTGACGAGATTTTTTTCCAAAGTACGTGCTGCTGTTCAGCCTTCGGTCCTACTGCCCTTGTCATAGGGACTGCTTCCCCACTTCTTACTTTTCCGGTTGCTCTGAGAAGTTGCCACCCTTACTGCCTTTCTTCCCGCCTTTACCTCGTATTAACGCTGGCAGAAGCCTAACCAGCTTCATCTGCATCTTAGGTCAGGCTCCATTAACTCCATGTGCCAACAGGGGTGGCCTTCTGATTGGTTTAGCTGCTGCAAGGGAGCAGACACGGGAGAGGTTAGAGTGAACAGGTCCCCTGGGTTGTGCCTAAGGTGGCCATCTGCCGGGCAGTGCAGGAATAGCAACTGAACAGAGAGCAATCAGGCTGCATAGTTTCCATAAAAGCCCCAGGTGATTTCTGGGAGGGGGGGGGTCTGAAGCTGGTGGAGTTGCCCTGAGTTTGATAACAGACAGGGCCTTTATATTCATCTACTGATAAGGACTGTATCGCAGCCTGGAGGGGAGGGGGTGCAGCCTCTAAGCAGCACAAGGTTCTAAGGGAAATTCACAGCAGGCACTTACTATCTGAGGGGTTAGGGTGAAAGGTACTCACACTTTCTTGATGGTTTCCTCCGCTAGTCTCTATTCTTCTCTGCTGCTCTTCTTTGTGTTCTTTCTCTACCGTATACTTCCTTTCCTACAGCTTATATACCCCAGCAAAGTTTTTCAGGCAATACGGGAATTACAATGTGGTTACATTTTGATTTTCAAGTGAATGATTACAATGAATACAAAGCAAACAGTAAAAAAGAAAACAGTATGTTTTCCATATCCCTTACATGAGTAAACATGTTATGTATTACAGGTGAAAAGCAAATTATCTCAAGAACCCACATCCATTCATACCCAAGCCACTTGTTGCAGATTAACTGTGGGGTAAGCAAGGCACTCTCAGTTAGGTCTCTTACTGGCAGGCTGCATTTTGCAGTTACAAAGAAAAGGCCAATGACTTTATTACTTATCTTGAAAGGTAATCTTATAAGGAATCTTAAAGGAATAGCAAACTTAACTTTTGTATATGAAAACGAATCAGTCAGCTCTACTTTAAATCTTTAGGGTACAAACTCACTCACCAATATTTTTTGTTTGTTTGTTTGTTTTATACCAGGAGATTGAGGGCTGAAATGGGTATAAGAAATTAATCATCACTTTTAGTTATCAAGCTGTCCTAGCAAGAAAAATAGGTCAGCCGGTAATAATTAGGCTGCTTTGTTCTTATCCCCTGACCTTGAAGAGTTCCCCATTCAACTGTGCACCTTTCTAAAGCTTTAGATTGTCTTCTTGGATTTTCACCTCAAAGGTATTTGAGAAAAACATCTAGTTTAACCTTAAGTTATTTTCAAAGCTTTGATTTAGCTATGAATGCATTCCAAAACCTGTGAGCATATCTCCCAATGTTAAGATTGAAAGAATTTAAATGAGCTGGGCTACTGGGACTCGATTGTTTTTCTTAATCATTAACCTAAGTCACAGTCTATGTGGCTCCTCAATAGAAACTCATGTGTGACACTTCCTTGTTTTGTATTTTTAATCATCAACACTCTATTTAAATTTGCATTATTGTTATCAATCAGACAGCACAGCTTAGGGAGGAATCATCTTCTAGCAATCCACAGGTAAAAATGCCCAGGAGGACAGATGTTTCCATGAGATAAACACACGACATTGCAGGCAGTGGGGATCTCCCCACACCCACTCACACCGTGCCAGACACCACAGAAAGATGGCGGCCGCAAACACACAAAGGCACAGCTGAAGTAAAAGATATGCCAGGCCTGTGGTCTCGGGGCTCTGCCAGTCCAAGGTTGACCCGTCAGAGTTTTCTCTCGGTGGCTGACACCTTGAACTTCAGTTGTCTCCTGCTGCTCCTCTGACACGGCCGCTGGCAGGCATGCTTGTCCATTCTAGGCACCCTCGCTTATGTCAAAATCATAACCTCACGTATGATGCTGCCTGGAGATAGTCTTCAGAAGGTGAATGTGCCCTGAGGGCGTGTCCTCATGAATGAGGTTATGGAGGAGACCCAATAAAATTTGCTCTCTTTCCTTTGGGGGGATTAAAATAGAGAAGGTGAGTCGGGCATGATAGTTCAGACCTGTAATCTCAGCCACTTAGGAGGCTGAGGCAGGAGGACCAATAGTGGGGAGCTATCCTGGGCTAACATTTGGAGATCCTGCCTCTGAATAAAACAAACAGGGACTGGAGGGATGGCTCAGTGGGTAGGCGCTTGCCATGAAAACCTCGGGACTGGAATTTTGATCTCCGGAACCTACCTGTCAGGCAGGTGTGGTGGCCTACTTTTCACCCCTGGGGGCTAGACATGGGACCTCTCCAGAACAAGTTGGATAGTCTGGTCAAACTGGTGGGCTTTGTTTTCAAGCCAAACCAAAAATGTACACGGCAGGGATTAATTGAGGAAGACGATGGAATGTCAACCTCTGGCTGCCACTTACATGCATGTACATGCACTCTCATATGTGCCCACATACATCGGAATATGTGTATACCAGACATGTTTATACGTTAAAAAATCCCCCCAAACAAATAAGATCAACAACAACAATGTACACACACACACACACACACACACACACATACACACACATATGCACGCATGCACGCACACATATATACACGCATACACAGACAGACAGACAGACAGACAAACAGAGAGGGAGATGGAGAGAGAGAAAGGAGAAAACAGCTATTGTGACCTAAAGGCGGGAACTGTGAACTTCATTATAGTACTTTATCACAGGAGCCACAACAGATCAAGACAGTCAGTTATGATTCCATGGTGTCCCCGGGAAGAGCAAATGTGGGAACAACAGACCTTGGCTGGAGGCCCACTTCCCCATCAGCCTGGGAGCAGGCATCTGTAACCGACCGCAGAGAAGACATGTTTACTAAAAACATGTTTACTTTGCACCACCGACTGGTCTCTGTGTCATCAATCCCGACACCCTCCGCACATTCTCTGACACAGGTGGCGCAGCGGGCACGGGAAGGAAATATCCCTGAGAGGGGACACAGGAAGAAACAGTTTCTGGAGAGGGCTGAAGTTTGGAAATATTGGCTGGCACAAATCCACGTAGCAGAGAGAAAAGGAACCAGGCGTGTTGCTTTGCAGATCTGACAGTGAAGATGGGGAGCTGGTCCCTCTGCTTGAATTGGGGGCCACCTGTGTCATTTGATCCAGCTAAAGGGATCGGAGCCACTGCTATGCAGGCTCTGAAAATGTGCGCTGCTGCTTGCCCTCTCTTGCTGGTGAGACCCCTCTCAGAGTGTGAAGAAGCCCAGGTTAGACCCTTAGAAGAGAGATGCCCCACTTACCCCAGGTAAGTGCTCAGACATTGCAGACATGGTATCCTGGGCCATCGAGGCCCTGCTGGAACACCATGTGGATAAAACACTGGCAGACACACAGAATCTTGGGAAATGATGACTGCTTCCCACGAATCTGGCACATGGTTTCATCCTTTTGGTCAAAATGTTTTGGCATGTAAAAATCATATTTCACGTTCTCCTCCCAGGTTTTTAGATTTCTATGAAAACAGTCAAATCCACGTTTTTGTTTTTGTTTTTCTCCAGAGCTTTCTACAAAGCACTCTTTCAATCTTCTTCAGCTCAGAGAACAGATCACAGAGTCTTCACTGTTCGTATTTGCTAGGGAAAGGCCTCCGCAGCTGCCAGGGTGACTGAAGAGAAAACACCATCACCTCTGGAAAAGGACAGGCCTGTGATGCCATCATAAACGTTTTAAAGAGAGCAGGGTGCTGATTATTAGCGAGCTGAGGCTTTGCGGGGATATCTGAGGGAGGGTCTGATGCAGCACATTAAGTGGAAATGCATTGAAATGAAAAACCAAAAGCAAACCCTAAGAGAACACAGGCCAAGCACCTTTCAGTTGCTTATTGGGAAAATATTTTCATAGTATACAGTCCTTGACAGCAAATTGGGGTTTGGTAAATGTTCGTTGCATGAATAAATGAATATGTGGATGGTTGGATTATGTGCTCCTGGGCTTGGAACAAAACATGCTTTCCTTCTGTCTGGGACTCTGGGGCTTAGAAGATTCGAGGTGCTGGTATCAAGGTAGATGAGGTGAATTGAGAAGCCACCAAGGTTTCCCTTCCAGGCACCCCGGGACCAGTCAAAGTCCAGGGCCACCTCTTCTGTGGAGATGTTTGCTCCTGTCCCAGGCCTGTTTTCTTTTCTGAAATTTAAAAAGATAGAACCATTTTGAAAGCCTGCAAGTTGGGGTTTCCCAGTGGAAGGGAAAAGAGCCACCTGGGGTTGACTTCCGTCCTTGGCCACTCTTCAGTGACTGATAAGTTACTGTAAACTCTTTGTGCCTCGGTTTCCAAGTCTGTGTGATGGGGATAATGGTAGTTGCTTGCAGAATGCTTGGGAGAACTAGAAAGCGTGGGTAAAGTGGTGGGATGGATGAGGGAGTTAAGTGGCTGGGAATTGTGAAGAATTTATAGCATTTGAGTTGTAGGTTGGCACTATCCTAGTGGGTCTCAGGATCCAAGTGGAACTTTTGACTTTATTAGTAATTGTCAAATATTGGGGAAAGGCCTGATGGGTTCATTCATTCCATTTAGAATTCTGAACTCTCTCTCTCTCTCTCTCAAGTGTCGCACCTGCTGTGCGGCCTGCATCCAAGAATGTAGCGAGGTGGTCGGGATAGATGACACAGAGACCGGTCGGTTGCTTTAAGAAAACTTTATGCTTCCCAAGTCAGCTTAGGAGGAGACCCCAGTCCGCTTAGCAGAGCTCTCAGGAGAAATCTCAGGAGAAGTCTCTCCAAGAAAAAAGAGCTTCCCTTTTTTAAGGACTTTTGCCATCCATTTACATACCATTCTTTCCACTTCTCACCCTCCTGGCTGGTGGTTTAATCTCCGGCCCCAGAATCGGGGAGACACCACAGGGGGCAGGGACAGGAAGAGGCATCTAGCCGTAGGGGGGTGTGACAGTCATGGTATTTCAGTGAGCAAGCCCTTATCTGAGCCCTATGAAGCTTTAAAGCACTGAATTGTTTTCAGTAAACATTACACAGATGCCTGCTCCCAGGCCGAAGGGGAAGTGGGTTTCTGCTCAAGGTCTGGTGTCCCCACACTCAAGTCCCCCTCCTTCCAAATGTCCACGGGGACGCGCCTCAGTCTGCTAAACCCAGTGCGGCTGCCTCTGACTCCATGTGTTTCTCATTCTAAGTCGTTGTGTCAGACTGCTTCAGCAACTGAGCACAAACACTCAGTGTGCACATGCACTGTTATTATTACTTTTAACATCTCAAGCGCCTGCTCTTGGGTTCTGCATTATTCTGTGGTTTCCTACCCATCTGCCCCACCCTTTAATTGCTCTGCCAGCTCTTACTCTGCTCTCTGCCAAGGCTGCCTCCCGCATCCCTGCTGTGTCTGGGTCTCCCCAAAGTGTCCCTAATCTGCTGGGCTCTCTGATGCCTTGCAAGGTTGAATAGGCTCTGTTTGTCTTGCTCCCCTGCCCCCGCAGTTATCTTACTTGGGCTCCCATTTCCTGCTCTTATTCTTGGCGACAGGCATCACACATTCATGTGAAACTCTGCCTCTTCTCCAGGAGGGAAAGGCTGTTTCCATTCATGGAAAGCCCAACTGCCACAAAGATGCCACACCCTCACCCTAGTGTGTGTGTGTGTGGTGTCTCTTTTTCTGACACACTCAGGACGAGGTTGAAAGGGCTCTGGTCTGTATGGTTATTTGTGCTAAAGGCCAGTGTGCCAGGAAAACAGTGGGGTCTTTGTGGCAAGGGAGAGGAGGGGACTCCCAAAACTATGTGACCTGGATCCGGGTCCACATTTCACTTCTCAGTTTCAAGTTGTTTCTTTTGTGAACTGAGAATACCCATGCCACAGCATTGCAGGGAGGAGCGGGAGTGGAAATGGCTTAGTGCACGGCCCAGAAAATGGCATCTGCCCCATAAGTATTTGATTTTCTGCCCTCTTTCTGGTCGCTAGGACCTCCAGGGAGATCTGGGTTTTAACAGGAAGGAAATGGTACCCCAAATATTGAAGAGAAGGATGTAAGGAAGGGAAGGGGTGATTTGCTGAGGTGTTGGCAGGGAATGAGAAGAGCTCTGGTCCCTACAACAACTGGAAGCTGTAAGTAGCTACTGTAGGGCAAGGTCAGGGTGAGCTCCCAGCACCCTTGTGGAAAGCTGCAGCCGTGAACCCGGGCTCAGGCAGAAACGCTTGCAAAGTGTTACAATAAACCTGAGCACCTCTTTCTGTTTTTCTTACAACTTATGCAAGTCCAGTGTTTTTTTTGTTAGTTTGTTTCAGTTGAAGGAGGTGGATGTAGGACTGCCGCTCAGTAGACGAGGGTAGCTACTGCTAAATTATATCCCATTGGAGGAGGCATATGGGGCCCAAGAACCCCTTCCTCTCCTTTTCTGAGGGTAGCTACTGCTAAATTATATCCCATTGGAGGAGGCATATGGGGCCCAAGAACCCCTTCCTCTCCTTTTCTGCCTGGGGAAAGAGGGCGTGGGCGGTGTCATTTAGAGGTGCTCCACTGGCAGAGAATTCGGCTAATGCTCTGGAGGAGTGGAGACGCATTCTATCAGGGTCTGGAGAGGGCAGTCACTGTGCACGAGGCCCTGGGTCTCAGTTTCATGTCAGATGGGCATCACACTCACCTGACTGTCTCCCATGGTGCTGATGGAAAGATCCAGAGGCAGCACCGTGACCACTTGCAAGGAAACCCCCTCTTCATCTGCATCGTGCCACCTATTTCTCCAACAGCCAGGCAGGTTACAAGGTAGAAAATTCACGGGACAAAACTAGCCACCTACGACAAGAAGTGAGTCTTTCACAGCGGCCTGGTCAAGGCAGCAGCTGGTTTCTACCACTCAGCTGCTATCTGACTTTGTGTTTGCCCAAAAGCAAACCTAGAAGCCTTTGTGTGCCATGCAGGCCACCTGGGAGCTGCTTTTAGGTTGCAGAGAGAAAGAAGCAGCGCCAAGAGCAGACTAGATCTCCATTCTGAGGCCCACTGAGACTGGGTGGTCTTCTTGTAGAGAAGGTCTGGGGCATGTATTCACCAACACTCAGCTCTTTTGGGCCCAGGGTTCTTCCTGAGGTCTTTAGGCTGCCTGGTGTGGTCAAGCCACCTAGAGGCAGCCGGAGAATAACACCAGGTAGCCAAAGGTGGCCAAATTAGTGTCCTCTAAATCAAGCAAGGAGGAGGTTGCTATGCAGCTGTGCTGATGAGCTTTGCCAAGGTGACACAACCTAGTATCCCCTGGCAAGAGCATCTCAGGGAGCGACCGGCCTGTGGGCATGTTTGTGAGGGATGGTCTTAACTGAATCAATCGTGACAGGAAGACCCACCCTCAGTGTGAAAGGCACCATGTCCAGAGCTGGTTCCTGAACTGTGTAAGAGTGAAGAAGTTTAGATGTGTCTAAGCAAGCCCTGGTTTCTCTCTGCTCTCGTCTGGAGGTGATGTGACCAGCTTCCTCGAGCTCCTGCACTGTGATTTCCCCACAATCTTGGACAAGAGCTAAAATCAACCCCTTCTTGTTGGGGAAGTCCTGTTATTTGCCTGTTATTTGTCAATAAAGTACTGTTGAGCCTATAGGAATCTAGATAGGTGGGGCTAGGAGTCCAGGAGGATTCTGGGAAGGAGAAACACAAGAGAGTCAACATGTAATGCCATGGGGGTAGGAAGCCTGGAACTATTCTCCGGTAAGAGACATACTTAGATTAACAATTATGGGGTAATTACTTAAGTCAGAGCTAGCCAGTTAGAAACAAGCAAGGCCAACAGCTTCATAATTAATATAGCATCCTGTGTGTTTATTTGGGGACTACATTGCGGCAGAGCCCAGGCGGCTGGCGGGGGATAAACCAAAGCAGCTAGCAAAGAAAAAGCTTCTCTTAACAGAATGGTTGTCAGGAGCGGGATTGAATTTCCACGCAAAATAAGAAAAGATTTAAAGGAATTTTAGAAACAGAAGAACGGAGAGAAGCACAGAGTTTTGGTAGCAGCATTTTTCTCAGGTGTGCTCTGTTTTGCTAGCCACAAGCCGAGATTCACGCGGCTCGCTTACTGGAGTCTTCCTGACTCGGCATAAAAAGAAAAAAAGAAAAAAAAACCCAACAAGGTTCTTTTAAGAGACTCTGCTAACGATTGATAGGTGTGTAGGTACAGCTGGAAGTGGCAGCATTTGCTGGATGTCAGCATGGACTGAGGCGGTAAGCTGGAGTCATGCTTACGCCCGCCATCTTATAAAAAAAAAATGGCAGTTTAAAACAGCCGTGGTTTTACAGATAAGACACGTGGCCAGAAAAACATAAACATTTACAGTAAAGTCAGACTTAAATAATGTAAAACCTCTAAAGGTTTACAGTGTGTTTAAAAATATACGTGAGATTGAGAGAGAAAATGAAATGGCAAAGTGGTAAATAAATAAAAAAGCCGGCGTTGTGGCACACCCCGGTAAGATTTACTCCAGAGGCAGAGGCAGGCAGATTTCCAAAGAGAAACCCTGTCTCAGAGAAAAATAAATAAAAGTAAAATAAATAAAGTAATAATACATAAATAAATAAGCCACGTAAAGATGGAAAATACACAGAGAGTCTGGACACTGTACGCTATTGTGTTTTTCAGTTTTTTCATTGCTAAGGAAGGAACAACTAAAGTACACTTGATTATAAATGCTGCTGAATTAATCCAACTTCTATCTTTTAAAAATGCCTTGACTTCGAAATTTAAGTATAAGGATATGTTACTTGGGAAAGGAGATTTTGCTTATGTTTCCACAGAAAAAGAAAAGCTGAGGATTCCTTCCAGACTTCTGTGGTTTGATGAACCAAGACCCCCTGAAGCAGTGGACCAGGTGTTCCAACTATTGAGACAGCTAAGATAATACAACTTTACAGAATCCCTAAAATACGGACTTATACAGGTTTCTGAGTTTTGTCATGATCCCCATGGTATGAACAGCGCCCCCTTCCAGCATGAAGCAGTTTGGAATGAGCGACGTCCTAATTCCCATCTTGTTTATAAATCTTTGTTTTCATTTACATGGGACTGTTTATAATTGGTTAATGATCACAACCAATCTCCTTTTAATGGTAAAAAGGGGAATTATGGTATGGGTATTGTTTTTCATTTATTGATACAAATTCAAGGTTAATTTTCTGATATGTATATTTCTCCTCTTGATTAAGTATTGTGCTTATACTGATCTTTTAAAACGTAATGCATAATTGAATACAGACTATAGATAGTTAATGATAATAGAATTTATAGTTAGGTAAGTTAGGTTTTCTAGATATACAAAAATATATTTGAGATAGATAGTCTTCAAACCTTTCAAAGACCTTCAGAAAATGGCATTTAAAATGGTTTAGGGTTTTTCTTGACAATGAAGAATGTCTACTCCTGGCAGCACCAATTATGTCTGGGAGGAAGATGGGCATCGAAGAAACTTGTAATGGAGTTTGCTTTCAACATGGCAAGATTAGCCATTTGACAAGAAACTGCTCTTGCCTGTACTGCTTGACTGTTGTTGTATATTCTGGACATGCAGGACCCACAGAAAAGTGACTGCTGAACTCAGTCTTATAGGGTTCCTGCTTCATGAAAGAGTCTAAGAGACTTTCTGCAGGACAAAGAAAAATGACTGACAGACTGCCAACGCAGATGGACAGTTTGAAATTTTCTGCTTTGCTGAGAAGTGTTCCAGACACATTGTGGCCTATGGGCTGAAGATGGATGCCCCAACGTTACAGAGGAACTTCGGGTGACTGTCCAGGCAGTAAGATGTCTCTGTCAATCCTAGTGTTTATATATTATCCTTCTGTGGTCTTTGATGGAGTTGAAGACAGATAGTTATAGTTTTCCTTAGTTATGATAAAAGATAAGCTACATATAGGACTTTGGACTCACAAGAATGAGATAGATGATATTTTCTTTAAATCTTGCTGAATGTTGATAGACAAAATATTGTAACTGTATTCTTACTTGATAACTGTTCTGTTGTATATAATTTGACTATGTTAAAGTTAAGACCTTTCTTTTGTTTAAACAGAAAAGAGGAGATGTTGGGGAAGTCCTGTTATTTGTCAATAAAGTACTGTTGAGCCTATAGGAATCTAGATAGGTGGGGCTAGGAGTCCAGGAGGATTCTGGGAAGGAGAAACACAAGAGAGTCAACATGTAACGCCATGGGGGTAGGAAGCCTGGAACTATTCTCCGGTAAGAGACATACTTAGATTAACAATTATGGGGTAATTACTTAAGTCAGAGCTAGCCAGTTAGAAACAAGCAAGGCCAACAGCTTCATAATTAATATAGCATCCTGTGTGTTTATTTGGGACTGATGCGGATCTGGAACCAGGCGGGCGAGAAGGCTCCTCTCAAGGAAAGCTTCTCTTAACACCTTCTCTCCTAAATGGCTTCTTGTCAGTTTTTTAAAAAATTAATTCATTAGAAATTTTATTACAACAACAGAAAGAAAACTATGACAGACACCGATGGCATCTACCTTGGTTTCCTTGCTTGTGTGACAGGGATCATGCCCCTGGCTCTCAGCACACTTGTGAAGACTTAATGACATTAAAGGCATCAAGTGGGTTCCAAGTGCCTGGCCCATCACAAGTAGAAATAAAAAGATATTCATGATAGAAGTGGGCAGATGCTTTTCATGGATTACAGGGTGGCCAACAGCTCAGAGAAGGTAAGGCATTTTCCTGAAATCAGACAGTTCCTAAGTGGCCAAGTCAACTCCTGACTCCCTACTCCCCACTCTCTCCCCAAAGTTACCCTCTTTCTCCTACACAAAGCATTGAGAAACACCATAAACATAAAAGGTGAGTGGGCCCAGACTTGCTAGCTGAGACCCAAGCTAAATTGACTGCTAGACAGTGCTTCTCTCAGCCCAGCTCTCAGACTCTCAAATATACACAAACTTTCTCAGTCCCCTGGGCCTTCTAATTGGCTCTCAGGCCTTCATCAGCGATGCCTAGGTGTCTGTGCATGCTCCAAGGGGTGCCAGAAAGTCTCCAGACAAAATAAACTACACTGTAAAAAGACCAAGGGCATAAAACTCTAGACACCTTGTTCTTCCTGTAATAGAATTTCTTTTAAAAATAAACTTTTTGTAATGCTCTCTTTACTGTCCTACTAATATACAAACAACAAAAAAAAACAATAAAATGCTCAACTCTTTAAAAGTTGTGGTGAAATGTATTTAGAATTTTCCCACAATTTTAATCAGTTTGAAATGTACAGGATTTTTTGGTAGGGTGTATTTGTATGTGTGTGTGTTGTGTGTGTGTGTGTGTGGTGTATGTGGTTTTTTGTGTGTATATAGGCCACAGGTTGACATCAGATGTCTCCCTAAAATTGTTTTCACTTCATTTTTAATAATTTTTTATTTTTATGTAGTATATATTTTGCAAGTTTGTACCAATACATTCTCATATTATACAGCTAAATCAAGAAGGTCTTTCTCTTCGTATTGATTCATCTGAACAGAAACAGCGCTGAGCATTTGAAAGCTGCCCTTGTGCGCAGGTGGCCACTCAGGTGGACCAGTGTGCCTTTCTTTTGAAAGCCTCCAAAGCCAAGGGCAGCCTGAAATCTAACGGAGGTGAACAAAGCCATTGGTTGGTAAACCTCGCCTTGGGCACCCATCTCTCTTTTCTCACACTTCCATGTGGCTTCCTTTCCTCTTTTCCTGGGTCCCCCACCCTGCCAAGCCTTCCTTCCTTCCTTCTTCCTTCAGCTGCCCAGTGGGCCACTCAATCTCCCTTACCTGTAAGTCTGGCACCTCTGACCTCCGTTTGTCTGGGGCTCCTGCTTTTCCTCACGCGCCCTTCTAGCATATTCCAAGTCACTCTGCTCTTCCGTTGTGGTTCATGGCTATCGGCACCGCTGGCTTTCTCTGGCATCCCCGCTTTTCCTTTAAAAGGAATAATTTTCTCCTTTGCTTCTCTGACATCGGTCGATTTCAGGGTTTGAGAAAAGGATGTGTAGGTGGTTTTCTACGCATCTAGGCACCCAATTCACTCAGAAAGTTCAGTCAGCACGTCTTCCCTTCTGGAGAGCTTCCTTCTTCCTGACTGTGTCTTTCTCCCTGTTCTTGTTCAAGCTCCTAACCCAGCTCCTCTCTCTCTTCTCCTTCCTTCTGAAAAGCAATATTTAAAGACTATCAGCAGGTTTGTGTCTTTGTACTTCACAGACTAAATGCCATGGGTCACAGCTCATACTGACCCCTTACTTGTTCTGGGCAAAGTTTCCCTCATCTTTATATTTGGCATCTGACCTTCACCCCCTCAACATTCTCTGATGTCATCAAGCTGGAAGCCTTTAATATAGACAGATGTTCTCACATCATTTTTGTTTTGTTGGTCACTTCAGGGGGGCTTTGCTTGGAGATCTCTGCACGTAGTTTTGTCTGTACAGACTCTGTGAGCTCAGATGCACTCAGCACTCTCGTGGTTCCAATGCAGCCTGCTGGACAGCTCAGCCTGTTGCATTTTGTGCTTACTTCCAAAGAAGCCCAGCCTTCACTCAGTTTTATATACTCTTTTAAAACCCTGCCCCATGGGGTAAGAGCACACTTCAGGAAGGGCAGCTCCTCAGGAAGGGCAGCTCCTCAGGAAGGGTGGATCACCACTGAGAAGAGACCTTTGCTCAAGCCCCAACAGACTCTGTGATCAGTAACAGCAGGAATCTAGAATTCACCAGTAACTTTTGCAAACTGGGGATAAAATCTCTTGTGATTTGTGGATAATTTTCTTGTCCTTATTTTGCTTTTTACCAGCCTCATGAGGCTAACAGGAGTGCCCCCTCTGGCTGGATTCAGGTGGAGAAAAATGTATCCTCTGAATATTTAATAAACTTCAGAAATGTCTCCTGTTTGAGCTTAGTGGTGTTCAGGGTGGTGGAGACACCAATTTTGCAGCACTTAAGCTTCATTTCAGGCCCGTGAGTGAGCAAGGTGCCAAACATTTTACATGGCCATAGTGTGAATCTGAAAGGGGGGTCTCTATGGTCTACTTGGTGTTGTGTCCCCCTTAGACGTCCTGGACACATAAGCATGGGAGTTGTGGATAAGGGAATGGAATTTAACCGAGTCCATGGAGGCCATTCAAGTCAACCGCGTTCAGTACTTTATTGGTAGTTTATTCATACTTCCTGTGCACAAGGATCTGCTTAGTGCAGTGCTTGCTTCAAGGAGCCCAAAGCCTAAGAAAAGAGGGAAGTGGTTGCACTGGGGTGTGTATATGTGGGAGTGTGTATATGTGGGAGTGTGTATGTGGGAATGTGTGTATGTGGGAGTGTGTGTATGTGGGACTGTGTATATGTGGGAATGTGTGTATGTGGGAATGTGTGTATGTGGGAGTGTGTGTATGTGGGAGTGTGTATATGTGGGAATGGGTAAATGTGGGAGTGTGTATATGTAAGGGTGTGTGTATGTGGGAGTGTGTGTATGTGGGACTGTGTATATGTGGGAATGTGTGTATGTGGGGATTGTGTATGTGGGAGTGTGTGTATGTGGGAATGTGTGTATGTGGGAGTGTGTGTATGTGGGAGTGTGTATATGTGGGAATGGGTAAATGTGGGAGTGTGTATATGTAAGGGTGTGTGTATGTGGGAGTGTGTGTATGTGGGAGTGTGTTTATGTGGGAGTGTGTACGTGGGAATGTGTACATGTGGGAGTGTGTATATGTGGGAATGGGTAAATGTGGGAGTGTGTATATGTAAGGGTGTGTGTATGTGGGAGTGTGTGTATGTGGGACTGTGTATATGTGGGAATGTGTATATGTGGGAGTGTGTGTATGTGGGAGTGTGTATATGTGGGAGTGTGTATGTGGGAATGTGTACATGTGGGAGTGTGTATATGTGGGGGGTGTATATGTGGGAATGTGTATGTGGGACAGTGTATGTGGGAGGGTGTATGTGGGAGTGTATGTATGTGGGAATGTGTTTATGTGGGTGTGTGTGTATGTGGGAGTGTGTGCATATATTAGAGTGTATGTAAGTGAGAGTGTGTGTATGTGGGAGTGTGTGTATGTGGGACTGTGTATATGTGGGAATGTGTATATGTGGGAGTGTGTATATGTGGGGGGTGTATATGTGGGAGTGTGTATATGGGACAGTGTATGTGGGAGGGTGTATGTGGGAGAGTATGTATGTGGGAATGTGTTTATGTGGGTGTGTGTGTATGTGGGAGTGTGTGCATATATTAGAGTGTATGTAAGTGAGAGTGTGTGTATGTGGGAGTGTGTATGTCAGAGTGTGTATGTGGGAGTGTGTAGGTGCGGAGTGTGCGTATGTGGGAGTGTTTATGTGGGGAATATGTATATGTGGGAATGTGTTTATGTGGGAGTGTGTATGTGGGAGTGTGTATGTGGGAGTGTGTATATGTGGGAGTGTGTAGGTGGAAGTGTATATGTGGGACTGTGTATGTGGGAGTGTGTATATGTGAGAGTGTGTATATGTGGATGTGTGTATATGTGGGAGTATGTATGTGGTATGGGTGTATGTGGCTATGTGTGTATGTGAGAGTGTGTATGTGGGGAGTGTATATGTGGGAGTCTGTGTATGTGGGAGTGTGTATATGTGGGTGTGTGTATTTGGGAGTGTGTGTATGTGAGAGTGTGTGTATGTGGGAGTGTGTGTATGTGGGATTGTATATGTGGGGAGTGTGTGTAAGAGGGAATGTGTGTATATTGGAGTGTGCATGTGGGGAGTATGTGTATGAGGGAGTGTATTTGTAGGAGTGTGTATATGTGGGAGTGTATATGTGGTGAGTGTGTATGTGGGAGTGTGTAGATGGGAGTGTGTATATGTGGTAGTGTGTGTATATGGGAGTGTGTGTATCTGAGAGTGTGTATGTGGGAGTATTTATATGTGAGAGTGTGTATGTTGGCCATGTGTGTATGTGGGGAGTGTGTGTATGTGGGAAAGTGTGTATGTGGTAGTGTGTATATTTGGGAGTGTTTATATGTGGGAGTGTGTATATGTTTGAGTATGTATGTGGGAGTGTGTGTATGTTGGAGTGTGTGTATGTGGAAGTGTGTGTATGTGGGAATGTGTGTATGTGGGAGTGTGTATATGTGGGAGTGTGTATATGCGGGAGTGTGTATATGTGGGAGTGTGTATGTGGGAGTGTGTATGTGGAAGTGTGTGTATGTGGGAGTGTGTATATGTGGCAGTGTGTATATGCGGGTGTGTGTATATGTGAGAGTGTATGTATGTGAGAGTGTGTGTATTTGTGGAGTGTGTGTATGTGGGAATGTGTGTATGTTGGAGTGTGCAGGTGGAAGTGTATATGTGGTAGTGTGTATGTGAGAGTGTGTATATGAGAGAGAGTGTGTATGTGGGACTATGTGTATGTGGGAATGTGTGTATGTGGGAGTTTGTATGTGTGGAGTGTGTGTATGTGGGAGTGTGTATGTGAGGAGTGTGTGTATGTGGGAGTGTATGTATGTGGGAGTGTATATGTGGGGGTGTATATGTGGCAAGTGTGTATGTGGGAGTGTGTATATGTGGAAGTCTGTGTATTTGGTTGTGTGTATGTGGGAGTGTGTGTATGTGGGAGTGTGTGTATGTGGTACTGTGTGTATGTGGGAGTGTGTGTATGTGGGAGTGTGTTTATGTGGGAGTGTGTATATGTGGGAGTGTGTGTATGTGAGAGTGTTTATGTGGGGAATGTGTATGTGAGAGAGTTTATATGGGGAATGTGTTTGTGGGAATGTGTGTATGTTTGAGTGTGTATTTGGGAGTGTCTGTATGTGGGAGTGTGTATTTGTGGAGTGTGTGTATGTGTGAATGTGTGTATGCTGGAGTGTGTATATGTGGGAATGTGTATATGTTGGAGTGTGTATGTGGGAGTCTGTATGTGGGAGTGTGTGTATGTGAGAGTGTGTATAAGTGGTTGTGTGTATATGTGGGAGTATGTATGTGGTATGTTTGTATGTGGTTATGTGTGTATGTGAGAGTGTGTATGTGGGGAGTATGTATATGTGGGAGTCTGTGTATGTGGGAGTGTGTATATGGGAGTGTGTATATGTGGGAGTGTGTATATGTGGGAGTGTGTATATGTGGCAGTGTGTATATGTGGCAGTGTGTATATGTGGCAGTGTGTGTATGTGAGAGTGTTTATGTGGGGAATGTGTATATGTGGGAATGTGTTTATGTGGGAGTGTGTATGTATGAAATGTGTAGATGGGAGTGTGTGTATGTGGGATTGTGTATGTGGGAGTTTGTATATGGGAGTGTGTATGTGGGAGTGTGTTTATGTGAGAGTGTGTATATGTGGATTTGTGTATATGTGGGAGTATGTATGTGGTATGTGTATATGTGGTTATGTGTGTATGTGAGAGTGTGTATGTGGGCAGTGTATATGTGGGAGTCTGTGTATGTGGGAGTGTGTATGTGGGAGTGTGTATATGTGGGAGTGTGTATTTGGGAGTGTGTATGTGGGAGTGTGTATTTGGGAGTATGTATGTGGGAGTGTATATGTGGGAGTGTGTATGTGGGAGTGTATATGTGGGAGTGTGTGTATGTGGGAGTGTGCATATGTGGAGAGTGTGTGAATCCGGGAGTGTGTGTATGTGGGAATGTGTGTATGTGGCGTGTGTGTGTATGTGGGTATGTGGGTATGTGTGGAGTGTGTGTATGTGGGAGTGTGTGTGGGGAGTGTGTGTATGTGGGAATGTGGGTATGTGTGGAGTGTGTGTATGTGGGAGTGTGTATAGGTGGGGAGTGTGTGTATGAGGGAATGTGTGCATATTGGAGTGTGCATGTGGGGAGTGTGTGTATGAGGGAGTGTATTTGTGGGAGTGTGTATATGTGGGAGTGTATATGTGGGGAGTGTGTATGTGGGAGTGTGTGTAGATGGGAGTGTGTGTATGTGGGAGTATGTATATGTGAGAGTGTGTATGTTGGCAGTGTGTGTATGTGGGGAGTGTGTGTATGTGGGAATGTGTGTATGTGGTAGTGTGTATATTTGGGAGTGTGTATATTTGGGAGTGTTTATATGTGGGAGTGTGTATATGTTTGAATGTGTATGTGGGAGTGTGTGTATGTTGGAATGTGTGTATGTGGGAGTGTGTGTATGTGGGAGTGTGTATGTGGGAGTGTATATGTGGGGAGTGTCTGTATGTGGGAATGTGTGTATGTGGGAATGTATATGTGGGGAGTGTGTGTATGTGGGAGTGTGTATATGTGAGAGTGTGTGTATGTGGGAGTGTGTGTATGTGGGAGTGTGTATGTGGGGAGTGTGTGTATATGTGAGAGTGTATGTAAGTGAGAGTGTGTGTATGTGGGAGTGTGTGTATGTGTGTGTGAGTGTGTGTATGTGTGAGTGTGCGTATGTGGGGGTGTGTGTATGTGGGGGGGGTGTGTATGTGGGAGTGTGTATGTGGGAGTGTGTGTATGTGGGGGTGTGTATATGTGGGGGTGTGTGTATGTGCAAGTGTGTGTATGTGTGAGTGTGTATGTGGGAGTGTATATGTGAGGGTGTG